GCGGGAGACGTGTTTGAGGTGGAGCTTCCTGATGGACAGGAAGTCCAGTTTCCTAACCGTGTTGGCATGGACGTCATCAGCTACATCAGAGTCACAGGGGACTTCAAACTGACTTCCTTCAAAATCTGCTAAAAGATACAGCTGCTGTAACACATGCAGACTGTGGTCATCAGTTTGGTTCAAGACGAGACTGAGTCTTGATCAGTTACTGTAAGAAATATTAATCATTAATAGATGTAGCTCTTCAGTATATGGTATATTCAGTATGTGGTCTTGTTTTGTTGTCTCTGAGGGTCAGTGTAATAAACTGTAACCAGATCCTGTCTTTGAAATATATTTTCTCACAAATAATGACACAAACTTCAGATATGGTTTCATACAGAGAGCAACAATCCAATAAAAGGGGCATTACACCAGTTTTACACATGAGGTTAAGTTTATTTGTCACAAGGAATATTCTACCTGTGCAAAAACAGTTGTATTATGTCTCTGCAGGGAAATACATGTATCTAAAGTTTGAGAAAATAACTCGACAGGAGCTAAAAGCAAGAATATTACTGGCTGACGCTTGCTACTTAGCTGCTATCTACTGTAGGCTACGGCAGGTTCCACTTTACTGGCAGGTTCAAACACGTAAAAGCCCCGATTTACCTTTATAAAAGGGCGCACCGGTTTCTCGTACAAATGCCCCTTCCTCTGCATAAAAGGAAAATATCCTTTTAAAATAAAAATAAAAACTCACCTTAGTCGCAGTTATCTGAATGTTTGTATCTACCGGCAGCTCGTTGTTTACTTTATAGGTCACACCCGGTAACATACCGGAAGTTGTTGTTGAGGATGGCTAATGTCATTTTTATTTTCTACAAGTGGTCACAGTCAACAGTCAGAAATATTAACCTTTCTTTATCCAATGGAGACAATGAATAAATTCATACCGGAGGTTTTTTTTTTTACTGATGCATCGTTTGTTTTAACCAATACAAAGCCCATGTAATGATCAACGTATGTACATGAGTTTTACCGCCATCCAGTGGCCACAATGAAGAACTGCAACAGATTAAATTTGTCAAGCTACTGTAAATTTAGACCGTACAACCCTTTTCGGTGAGTACTTTTGAATAATAAAGACCCAACTTAACGTTATCAGAAGTGAAGTAACAGAACAGTATTAAAATAATAATGTACATAGTAATACATTTTGGGGAACCGTTATGACAGGCAAATTCTGGTATTACGAGTTTAATGATGTCAGACAGTGGCAACCAATGCTAGTTTTCGGTAGCTTTTCTAACTATGCTAAAGATATTTAAACCCCATTCATCCAAACTTATAATACACTACATCTAACCGACATGTTCAGCTTGAGGTGTGGGGTTTGAAAGAAGTGGGTATCTACAAGGCAAGAGGGGGTTTAATGACAGACACTTGAGTTGCAGTATAGGAAATGTAGGATCCAGTGGTTTTGGAGCTTGATGCAAACTAGAGACAAAAAGTCAGGACATCTTGGCCTCTGCTGCTTTTGACCATCTCTTTTTTAAAGTCTTTCTCTTCTGAGTCCCCAAACTTGAGGTGCAATACTAAATTGTGGCAGTTCTCCTTCAAGGCACCAGATCACATACAAACAGAGGAACAGTCGACTGAGAATCCCTGTAAAATCTGGTTTTAGAAATCATCTCAAATACATCAGAAGTCACAATCTGGAACTGGATTTTACTGCTGCGTGCATTTGATGTCATCTGTGACTGAAAACAAACATGCTGGGAAACTGGGATAGAAAAATGATCAGTCAGAGAACAGAAGCGTGACACCTATGTGCAGACAACATAGCAGAAAGCTTAAGAGCCATGTGTGATTTTCTTATCAGGTTGACGGTCAAATAGACATAAGGTGACTTTCAAGTCTTATCAAATAGAAACAGTTAGGAAGAAGTCTTTACTATGAACCATGGATCAGATACAACTGGTGGAGTCTTCTACAAACAGATGTCAGGTCTCAAAGGTGGAAATTAAAACTTTGTCATTTGAGAAACAAAAAAGAAACATGGTCTTTCAATAGATGTGATGTAGTTATTTTTATTATACTCATTAATAACATGAAAGGTTAAAGTCAACAGGTGTTTTTGTGTCGTCACTGAATGATCAGTTTAATAAATGAAAACTTGTTTAACAGGATTTTCAGATAGAAGTTTTAGAAATGAATTACACAGGTTAAAGAAATATACCCTCCATTCTTTGTTGTAAGAAGTCGATCATCTGACAACATGTCTCTCATCAACCTTCTCACTCATCTTTCTATGATCACTGAGCTTCAGAAGTTCAGATTTCATGTATTTTCATTTAATAAAACTTCAAAATATTCATCAATACATGCATCACATTCATAATTTCTCTTTGTCTCTTCAAAAACAAACAAATAAAAAAACATTGTGTTCTGCTTTACGTTCATTTGAACTTTTTTCTTATCAAGAAATTCACACTTATAAACTTTGTAGTTTTTATGCGTCACTTATTCTCCAAATTCCTATTATTCTTCTGTATTTTATAGGAGTTTGATTCATGAATAGTCACATGAAAACAAGTGTCATCATTTTCAGCTGAGTAGTTGTGTTGTTAACTCACAGTTTGTACATTTCATCCAGACTTTTAATCGCTTCTTTTTCATTGTAGTTTCTCCAATCTCTGGGAATTTCTCCTTCACCCTTGAATTTTAATTTATAGTGGTCTTCCAGTTGTTTTTGAAATCGACACACAAACCATTTCCAGTATGTCAGTTTGGACTCATCAGGGGTAATTCTCCAGTCAGCAAACCTTGGTCCAGCAGTTCGGTACTGTTTAAATGGAATGAGCTTATCTGAATGTGAATCGGGGTAAAATTTTCCATCACTTGCAACATTTGTTGTGCAGAATTCAACAGAGAGTATATCTGTGTCTTTATAGTGTACACCATTGACTGCAGTGGATCGATGAAAAGGGACACTGTGGTCATCAGGACTGTGATCTTCAATGGTGTTGGTGCAAACAGCTGCACAGAATGGACACTTTACCCAGCAGCACTTGCACAGCTGATCGATGAGGATCTGATCAGGCTTCAGTCTGAACTCATTCATCTTATTCAGTGAGAGGTTGTTCATCTCCTTCATGATGGGTTCAAGGCTTTTCTCTATCTCTTCTTTAAGAAAGTCAAAACTGTTTATGTCTCTGAAGTTTTCAGGACGAATGGAATCAAATGTCAGATCATCTCTCAGAAAACTGGTAAATTCCTCCAGCCACATGTCTGTGTCTCCTGTCTGGGTTTTGACTTTCTCTGTTGCAGTAAATAAAGCCCGACTCACATGTTGCTTGATGTCTTCAACATTTTTCTTGAGTATATCCCGAGCTTTATCTTTGTGTGATGTGAAGATGTATTTCTGTACTTCCTCTTTTATAAACCTCTCCACATGTTTTCTTGGTTGATGGATGTAGTCAATGAAACCACTGAAGTCTTCTTTCTCTGCCAGTGACTTCAACACATGTTTCTCCAGGTTCAGTCTGTTCCCACTGAATGCTGGGAAACTGCACTTCATCTCTCCAGCTAGAGCAATGGCAGTCTGGTTACAGACAGCCTCAACAGTGGAAACCTTCAGTTTTTCACAGATCAGTTCTCCGAGTACAACAGCAGAAGAGTTTCCTTTACAGAAGCTTCTGAAAATGTTGTAATATTGATCCTTTTTGCTTTCTAAATGAGTACGCGCATCATTCTTCTTCTTGAATTTCTCGTGGGACTCTGAAAGCCAAGTCCCTGCTCTGTCAAACACATACAGTAAGAGT